ACGTTCAAGAACATAAGGAAAAATATTCAATCGACTTAAAGAAAAAAACCATTTAAATACAAGAAAAAAGAATGAAACTGCCAATAAAAATCACGAAGATCCTTTTTCTTATTAAATTTCCAGACGTAGTCTACGAGAAACCCACAAAAATGTTACAAGAGTAAATTAAATTCGATGTACAGAAAACAAACAACATCAGTTAAAACACCTGACAGAATTATCATAACTAAGCCACAAATTCGTAAATCAAATTAAAGAGACCGCGAAAGGTAAAACCCATCTCTTTTGTACCATCTTTTAGAAAGTGAAGAAGAAAGTTGTATTAGTGATAATGGCGCTTTTAGCGATGGTAAATTCTAATGAAGATTTTATCCTTACAAAAAAAAAGGCGATATAGGTTTAGTTACTCATTATCATAATTTTATAGTTTATTTAAACTTTAGTACTTTTAGCGATATAATGCTCAAATATAATAATACAGGGTGTTCACTCACTAAAGCTCATTTCCGCCTAACATCCGGCGAGTTCCTCGAGCTTTTACACCTTGTCCGACTGTCTCAGATTCCCCTTTAACTGATACAGCTCCCACACCCTTCGACAACCCTCTCCCCTTCGGCTGCGACCTTTACCGTCTAATCACTCGTGAGATTATCTGCGGTCACTATTGTGCCGTCTCACCACTCGTGGTCTAAATAGTGCTGCCGGATATCATCCCTTCAATAATGTTTCGAAAGAATTCCTTCGGTTCACCGACCGCCACCCCTACAGAGCGATTCCAATGTAAAGACTGTAATATTACCTTACCATTTTCGCCAGTGCTTCAAGAACATCGGTTTAGACATTGCATCTACCGCACCGGTCCATCAGGTTCTAAGCGAGGGCCACCCCCTCCCTTCCCGCCCCCTCGCTCAGCCACCACGACGTGATACCGCGATACCATTTAATTATGATGAAATGGAGAAACGGATTATCCTCACTAAGCTTGAGGATCCTGACACCATGCCCGACGCTCTACGTCATCTGGTCCGGAACCTACACGAACAAGGGAAGAAAATAGCCTTCCCTTTCCTGAAGCACAAGACCGTCTAACCTTCCAACCGACGCCGTTGAACTATTGAAGTTGGTCCAAGCCTCCTTTTCTCGCAGGATGGAAGTCTTCGAACTTTAACCCGTCTACGAAGACTTCGTGTGCTCCCACGGGCGCCTCTCCTTCGATACCTCAAAATCATGGCTCACATGTTACTCCCGCACACACCAACCGGGAGTTTCCACATGTAACGTTGATCTTTAACAGTCGAGATCCTCTTCACCTTTGGATGCCCCGCCCAAATCAACTTCAACAAGGCCCACCCGTCCACTCGTCGGACCACCCACACGACGGTGTCTCAACCTCACTTTGCGAGACCCTCTCACTGCTGCCTCTCCTCTAAGAACAGGTAAGTCCAATCCGCTTTCGACTGAAATAGTCCAATCCGCCTTCGACTAATATCTCCTCGAAGATTGCAGGTTTGGATCCCATACCGACCTACTGATACCAACTAGGCGTATAAGTCTAGTGCTGCTTTCTGGAGGACGGCCTGCGAAGTGCGATTGTGCTTCATGAATACCGAGTATGCTCATAACATCAAATGTAATCAGTCTAGGAGAAAATCCTATGTCGGCTATTGTAAATATGACAGTTATTCTAATTAAACAATATAGTGACACGCACTGTGTATGCATTGAGGTGACAACAAAAGTGGGGAAATGGGTGATCGCCAATCTGTACTTCCAGTTTGGCGACCGTATTGAACCATACATACAATGGGTAAGATCTATTGCCACAATATATGAACAAACACCTGTTATAATCATGGCCGATGCAAACGCCAAGTCGGCCCTATGGCACAGTGACCGGACGGATCAGAGGGAAGGAATTAGAGGAACTTGTTCACGAGCTTCAACTGGAGATCGTGAACTGTCCCAACAATCCTCTAATTTTTCAAAATAGAACAGAAGCAACAAGTAATATCGACGTTACAATAATCAATGGGGAAGCACATGGGAGAGTGGTCCGGTGGGAAGTTGGTTCCCAACTGACCACAAGGGATCACAATTTTAGTTTTCATTTAATCAAAGAACAAGATCCAATCAGACAGAATACCCCCACAGGGACCGATATGACCTACATAGAGCGGATTGGGCCAAACTAAAATAGTCCTTCTAAGATTTCTCTTGGAATATACAATACCAGGGTAAGGTTGAAAAATTTAATAATGGTATGAAACTCCATGAACACGTACTTGTTTTGATAATTTCTTTTTAAATAAATGCATATAAAAGACAAGACACGCGTGCAGTCCATTTGCTCTCTAATTTCCACAATTCTGACAATAAAATCGAAGACGAGCAGAAGGAAACGTCACGAAACTTCCGTGCCCTTAGTTCTTTTTTATCACAATAAGTATATGAACGAAGTCTATAAGTTTGACCAGCTTCAATCATTATTTGGTGTTGATCGCAAAAGTAAAAAGTGGTGGCACAGAATTATGCTTTTTTTGTAAATGGATGTATACTATGTATGCCACGAATACAATTTAAAAGGAAATTAAAAATTTTTGTAAGTAATATTTCGTCAGATTCTGGGTAAAGGTAAAGGTAACTTGGAACTTTAATGAAATAAAGCTAAAACGCACTTTCCTGTAGAAGCTTTGTTGCTCTTCCAAAGAATAACTGTAAGTACACAATTTAAAAGAAATCTGTAAGAATATCTTCAATATGAACTTAGTCCGTATTTGACATCTTTATTTGATAGCAATGTCATTACATGACAATATGGTACCTGCTGAATTTGAACTTGATGAAACTAATGTTACATACATTGTTGTTGGTGGATTTCTTCTGCACCGCGTCGTATGGAGTGAAGATGACAATTTTTCTGTTGTTTGAGATAAGAACATTAAATATTTGCAAAGCCATTATAGTTCAAGTATTGTTGTCGTATTTGATGGGTACTCGGACAATAATCATTCAATCAATGAAACAACTAAGACGAACAACTGCTCCTTCAATCTGATCACAAAAACACAATGATAATGCCAATCAGCCAAGAAAAAATTTTACCAAATCGATTTAATAAAAACACTTGGCAACATGCCTGTTGGGAGATAAGAAACTGTTAATATCACTACGAAAGGAGCCGGAGATGGTGCTGATGTTCTTTTTGTCGAAAAAGATATCGAAGACGTACTAAATCATATCAACCGGAAAAAAACATTAGCAAAGGATACGTTAAAACATAAGCATACTTCACTAAACGTTTTGATGAATATCCTAGTTGTAAAGAACATTTATTATTCTTACACGCATTTAGTGACTGTGACACTTCTGCTAGAAAAGGAAAAAATCTGTCATCAGAACGTTAGAAAGCTACCCGGTTTGGATCGATTGCCTCGAGTATATCAATAAGAAAACTGTCCTGTTTTTGTTTCATAATTGATTATAGCATTTTTTCTTAAATATTAAAACGGAATTTGATGCTCCACTATCAATTAAAATTATTAAATCGTATTTAGGAACAATAATAACTGGTAACTTTGGTTGTGCATTGATGATATTTAAGTCTAGGTTAATTTTTTGTGTTTGAGAGCTAACTAAAAAAAAAATAGAAAACCGCACACGGTAAATCGTATGGTCAATATCGTTTATATTATCCACTTTTGTACCAATTCGGAGAATTAACTGAAATAGAATTTTACTTATTTCACTTTTACTCTAAATTTCAATCTCCTATATCGAACTCAAATTTAATTAACTTAAAAGCTAAGATAAAGTACAATGAAAATATAATCACCACTCCTAATGCTGTAATATGCTTTCAATACGATCAATACTTATATTTTTCTTTAAACACCATCTCTATTCAAGTACCCGATGGTGACTACGTCATCTCCCACAATAATATACAAAAATGTGCAGCCTGGTATTTACAAGGTAAATAAAGGTCAATGCACAGTACATACGCTTAATAACCTCAATAACGAAGAACCAATAGAAAAAGATACACCTATATAACATCCAAAGAAACACCTAACGACAATGAGACTACATCGGCTAAGTTCGACGTCCTTCGAGATATACGAATGACACACATGAACAACCAGGAAAAAGAAAAAATCATGACGCAATGTAAGAAATTTGCACATTCCACAAATATCAACAAAAATTGACAGCAGTAACCACAGTAAAACATCATATACGCACCTCCGATGAAGATCCAATCTACAAGAAATCGTTCCGTTGTCCCTAAAAGCTCAAGACGGAAACACATAAGCACGTCGACAAGTTATTAAAAGATAACATCATACAACCATTTATAAGTTCGTATTCATCACCCGTATGGATAGTCCCGAAGAAAATGGACGCTTCCAATCAAAAGAAATGGAGGATGGTGATCGACTTCAGAGAATTGAACAAGAAGTATCCGTTGATGATGTCCTCGATAGCTTAAGCAAGTGCAACTTTTACGCCACGTTGGACCTGACATCCAGCTTTCACCAGATACCAATGGTTCCACGTTCTGTAGAGAAGACCGTCGCTATGAATTTACACGCCACATTTACATTTATCGGAAAATTTGGGAACTAGGCACTACAGAATACAACATATAACTCAACTACTTCGATAACAGATCGGTCCTTTTATCATCCGGTATGGAATCTGTTCGTTCGTTCCCTTTACGGCATATAATTTAAATGAATATTTTCGAAGATATTACAAATTTAAAATGCAGGGACATAGCGGTGCGGCGGTACCGGCCGGTTTCATTGTCTAATGACAAAAAAAAACTGTGAATGTTGTAAGACAACGTAGGGGTAGAGCGGGGCTTGTTGAGCATAGGGGCAAGTTGGGCAATCGAAATATCTCGAAAACTATTCACCGTACGTATAGACATCGTATAGTGGAAAGAGAAAGGCGCGGGAGGGATAAACATCACGCGATCGCTAGTGGCAACTGGGTAAGCGAGTGAGGAGCACGGGCGTTTTGTTTATTTTAAGACCAAAAAGTAAAAACGTCATTTATCGCAAGTTTTCGTCTGGATTAGTCAAATGTTATTTGTTTTTAATCAGGTAAGTGTTAATCTTCCATATAATTATCGTACTTTTGATATGCAGAGAGGTTCTGGGTATAATTCTCACGGTTTTTTTATAACCTCACTTTTATTTTGAAATTCTGGGTTGGGGTTAGTTGAGCATAGTTGCTCAACTTACCCCATGATTCAAACAACTAAACTAATGAATGTTTTATTTTTTATTAGGATGCGGACTTACAAGAGAATAACTACAAGATGTTCTTACACTACTGAAGATTTAAAAAATGCTGCAAAGGCTGTGAACGATGAAGGTAAAAGTGTTAATGCCACCGCTACAGAATTCGGTATCAAACGGATGACTTTGACAAGATATCTGAAAAAATTAAATGAAGGTGGCGATTCATCCATGGGCTATGCAACACCGAGACAAGTATTTTCTTCTACACAGGAAGATTCACTGAAAAAATACTTGCTACAAATGGCATCAATCTTCTACGGATATTCTCCAAAAGATGTCCGTCGCCTTGCCTACGAATGTGCTAATAAATTCGAAATTGAAATTCCACCCAGCTGGGCTGCAAATAAGATGGCCGGAAAAGAATGGCTTACGATGTTTTTAAAACGAAATCCGGAGCTATCCATACGAAAACCAGAACCCACCAGCCTTGGTAGGGCAACATCATTTAATGCGCAGAATGTTAAAGTTTTCTTTGATAAATTAGCGGAAGTAATGGATAGATATGCATTTACAGNCGACGTCCTTCGAGATATACGAATGACACACATGAACAACCAGGAAAAAGAAAAAATCATGACGCAATGTAAGAAATTTGCACATTCCACAAATATCAACAAAAATTGACAGCAGTAACCACAGTAAAACATCATATACGCACCTCCGATGAAGATCCAATCTACAAGAAATCGTTCCGTTGTCCCTAAAAGCTCAAGACGGAAACACATAAGCACGTCGACAAGTTATTAAAAGATAACATCATACAACCATTTATAAGTTCGTATTCATCACCCGTATGGATAGTCCCGAAGAAAATGGACGCTTCCAATCAAAAGAAATGGAGGATGGTGATCGACTTCAGAGAATTGAACAAGAAGTATCCGTTGATGATGTCCTCGATAGCTTAAGCAAGTGCAACTTTTACGCCACGTTGGACCTGACATCCAGCTTTCACCAGATACCAATGGTTCCACGTTCTGTAGAGAAGACCGTCGCTATGAATTTACACGCCACATTTACATTTATCGGAAAATTTGGGAACTAGGCACTACAGAATACAACATATAACTCAACTACTTCGATAACAGATCGGTCCTTTTATCATCCGGTATGGAATCTGTTCGTTCGTTCCCTTTACGGCATATAATTTAAATGAATATTTTCGAAGATATTACAAATTTAAAATGCAGGGACATAGCGGTGCGGCGGTACCGGCCGGTTTGTATTGTCTAATGACAAAAAAAAACTGTGAATGTTGTAAGACAACGTAGGGAACTACAGCAATTCAACGCCGCATTTGATCAGCTGATCATCGCAAGCATCCGTGTTGCATTTGTTTTGTATTTTTGTACTCATGCATTGTTTGTTATTTGATAGATTAGATTAAATGTGACTGACAATGTGTATGTTACAACTTTTTTAAAGTAACTTCTTGTTCTTTTAATGTTGTAAACGTGCATATACATATGTATTCAGTCCAATTGGCGGTAGGTGGGTCAACGTGCCATTGTTGTCCTAAGTCAATAACAACCTCAAAGGTGGTGTGGAAATTTGCCTTAGAATTAATAAAATTACAATTACCTATCCCATTAACCTACTGATGTTTATGTAACATTAATTTTATTTTTCTTTCGTGTTCTTAATACTATGTTGAGATGTATTTTAAATAACGCTGCAAATTATAAGCCATGAACAAAGCTGTTATAATTAACTCTTATCTTAATGGATGCCTACAAAGATTATTATTATGTGTAGTAGGGTAGTAGTAAGCTGTTGATATTTGCTTTATTAGCCGTTCAACAGCCAGTAGTTTATGTTTACAATCTCCATCGATGTCGCTAATTAGATTTATCGCAACTGTAGGTTGCCAAACTAAGTCCAGGACCGGCTTCAGATTGCCATTTGTTCTTTTTTTCTTACAATATTTTTATCCCTTAATCATGCTTTACTCACCGTTCAATTCCCTATTACCTCTAGTTAATACCATCCAAATCTTGCCAATTATTTCTGAAACACCCTGTATGTTAAGGATATAATGATCTGATTGGGTTTTGTTGGGGTTTCCCCAATCATTACAACAAACGTTGTATCATTTTATGGTTTCCCAAATCAAAAGAATAAATCTTTCTATATAAAAACTAAGCCAAATCCGCTTTCATCGTACGCTTATAATTATCAACAACATGAAGCATACAGCGTTGGCTATTATACCGTATGCTCCTTTAATGCTATCTATAGATAACAAACTCGATCTTTTCCGCGGAGTAAATCCTGCTGGTTGGTTTGTATCGCAATTGAAAGCAGAGAGTCAAAGAATTTACAGCATTCTGTCTTCAGAAAGTTCTCATTCTCTCATTCCCCTGAACGAAGAGGAATTAGAACAACATAAATTAACAAACGACTTTCCTAATTGTTCTCTTTCATTTTCGAATACGGAAAATATATCGCAAGTATTTGTAATAATTGTAATTTGCAGATAAAAAAACATTTTGAAGTAAAAGTGGTTTTCCATAATTTAAATTATGACTTGCACTGTTTTTTTCAAGAACTGGCTGCATAGGCGAACGTTAAACTTATTCCTTCTACTGCCGAAAAATATATATCGTTATCAGTTTATTTTGGATCAGTTCGTTTGGTGTTTATCGACTCTTTTCGTTTCTTACCCGATAGTTTAGACAATTTAGTAAAAATATTATCCCACGATAAACTAACACATACTTCTCAATTCTTTCCTATTATCGAACAGTTTGATCTAGTCAAGAGAAAAGGCGTGTTTTGTTATGATTATGTCAATTCGTGGGCATCGTTAGAAAATACCAGTTTACCTCCTATTGAGGACTTCTACAGTAAATTAAAAGACGAAAATGTTTCTAACGAAGATTATGCGCATGCATTAAAGGTATGGGATTTGTTTAACTGTAGAAATTTGGGCGAATATTCTGATCTATATTTGAAAACGGACATTTTGCTATTAGCGGACGTATTTGAAAATTTTAGAAATTTCACAATGACCTATTATGGTTTAGATGCTGCCGAATTTTTAACAACACCTAGTCTCGCTTATTCAAGCGCTCTTAAAACAACTAGAGCACGCATAGATTTACTTACAGATATTGAGATGATATTATTTTTTGAAAAGGCAATAAGAGGCGGCATAACTCATTCCGTACATAGGTATGCTAAATGTAATAATCTTGAATTTCCTGACACATTTGATTCAAGCGAAAAAGTCAACTACCTAATGTATTGGGACGTGAATTCTCTCTATGGTTATGCTCAATGCCAAGCGTTACCCACGGGTAATTTTCGCTGGTTGTCACCGGACGAAATTAACTATATGGAAATCAAGTTGAAAAGTGGCATTTTCCACAAGTCCGATAATAACTTATCTTATGCTTTGGAGGTTGATTTAGAATATCCGCAACATTTACACACTCAAGATTCTCATATACAATTTCCTTTTTGTGCCGAACATATAACTCCGAAGGAAAGCAATTTAAAAAAATTATGTTGCACATTGAGCGATAAAACTAAATATGTTATTCATTTCGAAAATCTTAAACAATGTTTAAAATTTGGATTGGTGTTAAAAAAAATTCATAGAGTTATTGAATTTAGGCAATCCGATTGGTTGAAAAGTTTTATAGATTTAAATACAGATTTTAGAATGAAAAGCAATAGTGACTTTGAAAAGAATTTATTTAAATTGATCATAAACTCGGTTTTCGGTAAATTTTTAGAACGTGATCGCAATAAAAGAGATATAAAAGTTGTAAACAATTGGCGAGCGGCTTCGAAATTAATTTCGTTACCTCATTTTAAGAGAGTTACTATCTTCAATGAAAATTTAATAGCGGTCGAATTGAAACGGACATGTATTGAAATGAACAAGCCCTTATTTCTCGGGTTCACCATATTAGAATTGTCAAAATTAAAAATGTACGATTTCCATCATGATTATATTCAAAGTAGGATTTCTCCTCACTTTCATCCACAACTTCTTTACATGGATACGGATTCCTTAATTTACCAATTTACGCGAACCGACAGTAATAGTAACACCTCTATTTACGACATTATACGCGAAGACGCGGCATCACATTTCGACACAAGCGATTATCCTATTCACAATAAATGGTGTATACCGCGGGTCAATAAAAAAGTTCCTGGTTTAATGAAAGATGAATTAAAATCCCAAATTTTAACCGAGTTCATAAGTCTCAGACCCAAAATGTATATTATGAAAGTCGATGGTAGAGAAAGAACTGCGAAAGTAAAAGGAGTTTCGCTAAGCGCCAAACGAAAGTTGACATTCGAAGATTTTCAACGATGTCTGTTTGATAATGAAATTTGTTTTTCCGAATTCTCAGGGATACGTTCGCAAAATCATCAAAATTTCAGTTATACTATCAATAAATTAAGTTTATCGTCAAATGACAATAAACGCTTTATTAAAGATAATAAAATAGCTATGTTACCTTGGGGGCATTATTCGTTAAAATCCCTTATGATTTAATTTTATAATGTTCTCACGCAACATTATACTTTGTATTATCTTATAGTGTAAGTATTATTGTACTAATCATTTTGGAAATGCAATGTATCTTAAATGTATATCGCTTACATGTTTACTTTTTCAATGAAAGTGTACAAAACAAAGTACCTTTATTTCTTCCTGCGATATCATACAATGTATTCGCATCTAGTAATAATATGTCTATTAAATAAACTGTTGCTCGTATATAATAAAATGTATATCGCTTATTTACGCGTCTACTTTTCCAATCAAAGAAAGTATACAAATCGTCTTGTCTCACCCTATCTTAGTTTCTTCTCACGTGATCATACATCGTGAATATAAAAGCTCCAACGAAGGATCGCTTCGAGCAAAAATGAATCTATCGGAATGGGTGCGAGGGCGCCTTCCCGCCGATTGGCCAGTAAGTTCTGATTCTTTTTAATTTTTTTATTCTTTTTGTATTGAATCACTTTTTTTTAATTTATACTCCTGAACTTTTAGGCATACTGCATAGTATTTCTGGGCAGCTCGGCACCTCCCCCCCGCCTTTTATTTATTTGGGGGTGTGGGATGGCTGGCAAATATATGTGAAGCGATTTGGTCCGGTCACCAGTATTTTTTCAAGCAAGCATCCTAACATGAAAGATTTTTTAGTTCCAGTAAGTTAGACTGTCTCAGATTCCCCTTTAACTGATACAGCTCCCACACCCTTCGACAACCCCCTCCCCTTCGACTGCAACTTTTACCGTCTAATCACTCGTGACATCTGTATGAGAGATTGTCTGCGGTCACTATTGTGCCGCCTCACCACTCGTGGTCTAAATAGTGCTGCTGGATATCATCCCTTCAATAATGTTTCGAAAGCATTCCTTCGGTTCACCGACCGCCACCCCTACAGAGCGATTCCAATGTAAAGACTGTAATATTAGATTACGTTAGGGTTAGAGGAGTTCAAATTTTATCATTGTCTGCTTTGAATAACATACTGTTTTATTTCATTATTTCATTTACAGTTTGATTGGTAATTAATGAAACACATTAAAAGAAGTAATTTTATTTGTATATGTAGTATAATGTACAAGTAGATACACATTTTACCTTAAAGTCGTATTTACAGGTTTATTTGTCTTCATCATCATAATTGTTCCATGCAAACAAAATTGAGTTTTTTCCCCACATCTGATAATGTCCACCATAATAGTAGATGGAATTTAAGCCTTCAACTATACCTATGGAATCTTCAGTTTCGTTATTAACATAGATAATAAATTTCATTTTTTCTTTTCCTTCTTCATATGTATGTTGTTGCATCATTACAGAAGATATTCTGTTTATTTCTGCTGTAGCTTCAATATCACAATTTAAATTATCACACGGAATCATTAATAA